GTCAATATTTACATTTATGTAAATATTTTATTATATCATTTCATGTGATGACACATAAGAAATTACACTTTGCTACAATGTAAAGTCGTGAGTGTACAGCTTGTATATCAGTGTACATTTGCTGTCCCCTCAAAATAACTCAACACACAGCCATTATTGTCTAAACCGCCGGCAACAAAAGTGAGTACACCCCCAAGTGAAAATGTCCAAATTGAGCCCAAAGTGTCAATATTTTGTGTGGCCACCATTATTTTCCAGCACTGCCTTAACCCTCTTGGGTATGGAGTTCACCAGAGCTTCACAGGTTGCCACTGGAGTCCTCTTCCACTCGACTCCATGACGACATCACGGAGCTGGTGGATGTTAGAGACCATGTGCTCCTCCACCTTCTGTTTGAAGATGCCCCACAGATGCTCAATAGGGTTTAGGTCTGGAGACATGCTTGGCCAGTCCATCACTTTACACTCAGCTTCTTTAACAAGGCAGTGGTCGTCTTGGAGGTGTGTTTGAGGTTGTTATCATGTTGGAATACTGCCCTGCGGCCCAGTCTCCGAAGGGAGGGGATCATGCTCTGCTTCAGTATGTTACAGTACATGCTGGCAGTCATGGTTCCCTCAATGAACTGTAGCTCCCCAGTGCCGGCAGCACTCATGCAGCCCCAGACCATGACACTCCCACCACCATGCTTGACTGTAGGCACACACTTGTCTATGTACTCCTCACCTGGTTGCCGCCACACATGCTTGACACCATCTGAAACAAATAAATGTATCTTGGTCTCATCAGACCACAGGATATGGTTCCAGTAATCCATGTCCTTAGTCTGCTTGTCTTCAGCAAACTGTTTGCGGGCTTTCTTGTGCATCATCTTTAGAAGAGGCTTCCTTCTGGGACGTCAGCCATGCAGACCAATTTGATGCAGTGTGCGCCGTATGGTCTGAGCACTGATAGGCTGACCCCCCCACCCCTTCAACCTCTGCAGCAATGCTGGCAGCACTCATACGTCTATTTCCCAAAGAAAACCTCTGGATATGACGCTTAGGACGTGCCCTCAATTTCTTTGGTTGACCATGGCGAGGCCTGTTCTGAGTGGAACCTGTCCTGTTAAACCACTGTATGGTCTTGGCCACCGTGCTGCAGCTCAGTTTCTTGGCAATCTCCTTGTAGCCTAGGCCAGGGGTGCCCGTAAGGTAGATCGTGATCTACCAGTAGCTCTCAAAGCTGATGCTGGTAGATGACGAAGGGTGTGAAAGGCGGCCCCTTTATTCCATTTTGGTATATTTATTCAGCTGTGCACACATGATTACCTATTAGCCTGAGTCTGCTGAGCCAAGCTCCCTGACACCTTTCTGGTGGATACTGGTGGTTGAAGTGCTGTATTACATCAAAGAATATTAGTATACACAGCCTGTTGCAAAATACAGCAAGGTGAGCCAGGAGAGAGATCGGGGAGAGACAGACAGGAGATCGAAGAGAGACAGCCAGGAAAGAGAGCGAGGAGAGACAGCCAGGGGAGAGAGCAAGGAGAGATAGCAAAGAAAGCAAAGAGAGACATCCAGGAGAGAAAACAAGGAAAGACAGCCAGGAGAGAGAGGAGAGACAGCCAGGAGAGAGAGCGAGGAGAGACAGCCAGGAGAGTGAGGAGAGACAGCCAGGAGAGAGAGAGCGAGGAGAGACAGCCAGAAGAGTGAGGAGAGACAGCCAGGAGAGAGAGCGAGGAGGGACCGCCAAGAGAGTGAGGAGAGACAGTCAGGAGTGAGAGCGAGGAGAGACAGCCAGGAGAGAGAGAGCGAGGAGAGACAGCCAGGAGAGTGAGGAGAGACAGCTAGGAGAGACAGAGTGAGGGAGGTTTTTTTCGTTGGTAGATATCATGTAGCTCGTCATTTGAAAAGTAGATCTCAAAACAAAAAATTGTGGGCACCCCTGGCCTAGGCCATCTTTATGTAGAGCAACAATTCTTTTTTTCAGATCCTCAGAGAGTTCTTTGCCATGAGGTGCCAAGTTGAACCTCCAGTGACCAGTGTGAGAGAGTGAGAGCGATAACACCAAATTTAACACACCTGCTTCCCATTCACACCTGAGACCTTGTAACACTAACGAGTCACATGATGACACAAGGGAGGGAAATGGCTAATTGGGCCCAATTTGGACATTTCCACTTAGGGGTGTACTCACTTTTGTTGACAGCAGTTTAGACATTAATGGCTGTGTGTTGAGTTATTTTGAGGGGACAGCAAATGTACACTGATATACAAGCTGTACACTCACTACTTTACATTGTAGCAAAGTGCCATTTCTTCAGTGTCGTCACATGAAATGATATAATATTTACAAAAATGTGAGGGGTGTACTCACTTCTGTGAGATACTGTACATCTACCATAAATTTGATATCAACTATGTAATGTAGTAATTTTGTTGGTATTCAGCATTTAACTTTCTGAGACATCAAATTAGTGAGTTATATTGAAATAAACATTTAATTTATTGGTTTACAAGGCTACTTTTCTATAAAAGGTGCCATCTAGGTCCATTACTACCATAAAAGCCACTTCTGTGCTGCTCTCTGACTCATTTGTGTCATTCATTGTGTTAACAGTGCATGACTTCCAGGTTAAGCTTCATCTAAGCACCATTCCACTATCCAGTGAGAGCATGTCAGGGGCCAATAAGGGCACTCTCAATGGATGGGAACAGGTTAACATGCCCGGCACCAGTAATAAAGTAATAAATAGGAGAGTGCCACTGAAGGAATTTTTTAGCTAATAAAGGTAATATCTTTGAGGGCACAACTGTTTGTATGTTACTGTGCGTTGTGCTAGGCAGTCCATTTATTGTGAATGGGCAGCCAGCACATGGGAACTGACCTTGCACTTTTTGTTCCACAGGTGCATTGTGGTATGTTGGGAATGTGTGTTGGGGTGGAATTCAAAATATATGGTACTGCAATTCACCACACCACAATTGGGCTGACAGTACAGTCCAGCACAGTGCAGAACACAGTTGGACGATGCAAAGACAGGAAAGGCCCCCACCACAGCAAGGTGGGTGCCTTATCTGTTTCTCCCTTGGCCTGGCCAGAGGGACAAGACACAGTTTTGTCTTAATTCAAATTATGAAACAGGAACTAGAGTAAAGAACAACTTTAATGTTGTAGCTATTATAATGTAGATCAGTGGTTCTCAACCTGTGGGTCGCGACCCAATAGTGGGTCACAACACACAGTTGAGGGGGTCCCCATGTGCCTTGTGGTGCTCTAGGTAAGAGGCTCCTCAGCCGCCTCCTAGCGCAGCAGTGTCAGTTCTCCTAGATGGCGCTGCAGCTGCAGTGGCCGGAGAGGATCAGGTAGAGGGGAGCAGGCAGAAGTGAGGGCTGGTGAGTGCTTGATCACCACAGAGGCTGCACTGGGCACCACAGAGGCCGCACTGGGCACCACAGAGGCCGCACTGGCACCACAGAGGCCGCTCTGGGCACCACAGAGGCCGCACTTGATGCCACCAGAGTCCCACTAGCCACCTGAGAGCCCGCATAGCCACCCGAGAGCCCACACAGATACTAGTATTGGTGCATCCCTAAATTTTACGGTTGGGGGTCACCACAACTTGACAAATGTTACCAAGGGGTCCCGGCCCTATAAAGGTTGAGAACCCCTGATGTAGATAGACATTTCAAATCATTATATTTATAAATAAACATGAATGTGCAAAAATAGTCTTGTTTACGTGTGCAAATATTGGTTAAACAAGGTCATTCTATATCTATTTTTTCCAGATGATAAAGACTTTGATGCTTTTATATCATATGCACCACAAGTCTCAGAGTTGGACATGGAGACTAAAAAAAGCTATTGTGATAGCTATGATGAAGAAAGATTTGCAATTCAATTGCTACCAGATGTGCTGGAAGGCAAATATAATTACAAACTCTGCATCCTGGAAAGAGACGTTGTACCAGGAGGAGGTGAGGCAAGGGTCTAAAGCTTTGCCTGTAGGAAGAGCCTGGTTTTTAGCCATATAGAAGGTTTTTGGAGGCTGCAGCAGATATTTGAGCATTTTCTACCTCTCAGATAAATTACCATCAATCTTTTCATTTATCTGTAAGGAGGGCATTCTTCCCACTGACCACCAATGAAAGAAGCATCCTTCCCAATGACCAACAATATAAGGAACAGTCTTCCGACTCACCACCAGTTTAAAGTGTAGCTAAACCCCAAAGCCCAAATTTAATATATTGCATCTTACAAATCCTTAAATATAACGTTTTTTTTTCTTTATTAGGCTTTAGCCACCCGAGAGCCCACACAGATACTAGTATTGGTGCATCCCTAAATTTTACGGTTGGGGGTCACCACAACTTGACAAATGTTACCAAGGGGTCCCGGCCCTATAAAGGTTGAGAACCCCTGATGTAGATAGACATTTCAAATCATTATATTTATAAATAAACATGAATGTGCAAAAATAGTCTTGTTTACGTGTGCAAATATTGGTTAAACAAGGTCATTCTATATCTATTTTTTCCAGATGATAAAGACTTTGATGCTTTTATATCATATGCACCACAAGTCTCAGAGTTGGACATGGAGACTAAAAAAAGCTATTGTGATAGCTATGATGAAGAAAGATTTGCAATTCAATTGCTACCAGATGTGCTGGAAGGCAAATATAATTACAAACTCTGCATCCTGGAAAGAGACGTTGTACCAGGAGGAGGTGAGGCAAGGGTCTAAAGCTTTGCCTGTAGGAAGAGCCTGGTTTTTAGCCATATAGAAGGTTTTTGGAGGCTGCAGCAGATATTTGAGCATTTTCTACCTCTCAGATAAATTACCATCAATCTTTTCATTTATCTGTAAGGAGGGCATTCTTCCCACTGACCACCAATGAAAGAAGCATCCTTCCCAATGACCAACAATATAAGGAACAGTCTTCCGACTCACCACCAGTTTAAAGTGTAGCTAAACCCCAAAGCCCAAATTTAATATATTGCATCTTACAAATCCTTAAATATAACGTTTTTTTTTCTTTATTAGGCTTTTATCCATTATTTTCACCTAAGTCTGTTATTTTTCAACTTTCTTTAACAGACCAAACTGTCCAACAAAAGTAGCATATAGAGGGTTAAGACAAACCATTTAACACTGTCAGGGGTGCTGACAATGGCTAGCTTTTAGTCAGATGTAAAATCTTTATCCCAAAAGGAAAAAAAAACTTTTGCTGTAACTGCCTAAAAAGTGTTAGCTGGAGTTGACATTTATTAAGTCAAATCCAACTAAATTTGCATCTAACACTACTCGCTCCAAAGGTTGACAATACTGCTGTCCATGAGTGGCTCCTTCGCTCCTCCATAGGGTGGAGCCACTCTAAGACAGGAAATGTGCTACTGGCTAGATAATACCAGGCCAGGTAATAAATAAAGGAACAAAGGCCTAAAAAAATATATGCAGTCACCACATTTAAGGATTGGTAAGCTGCAATATATTCAATTTTGGGTTTAAATAGACTTTATGAGGGTCCTCCTATCAATGTAAAGAGATGCTACATTCACCATAAATATAAGGGGGTGGCTCACTGAGCACAGTTGTAAATAGGCACTGAACTTGCCACCAAGTGAGATAGCACTACAATTTTCCCAGTTTGCATCTTCTATCAATAATATTTGTTTCTATTCCTTCTCCTTCTTTTTGCATGAGTGTCAAGTATGCCATATTGCTTATTCTTCTAATAATTCTCACATTATCCCCTGATTTGTAGATATAATAACTATAAGCAGAGGTTCCCTGCGACCCTGAGAAAGTTATTATAAGTGTTCATTTGCTTTGAAAGGTTGAGAAAAAGTTTTTTCAAGCACTTGCACTTTATACCTGCAAAATTGTTTTGCTCTAGAGGCTCTTTATAGAAAATGATCTGTACTAAAATGCACATTTTAGGTGTGCACATATTTGAGATGTGCAAGTTTCTTCAAAATTGGTTGTCAAAGACTGCAGGAACAGGGATGACAGATAATCACAAACTTTTATTTGAAATCCTTTGCTAGTTGTAATGCAGCAGATTTGCATTAGATACAGTATGTGCCAGGCCCTGCCATTTAAAAAAAAAAAATACATTCCTTTCATACTGTGCTACATTTTTCATAATTATAGTCAATTCAAGGGAATTGTCACCAACAATACAAATGTATTTGATTTGTTTCAGTTTTCTATTTTCAGTGATGGATTATTAAATAACTATAACTGCATTATACTATATCTCACTTCATATTATTTCTTTTATATTATAGCTTATGTTGAAGACATCGCCAATATCATTAAGAGAAGCAGAAGAGCTATTTTCATCCTCTCTGAGAAGTATATTATAAGTCCCAAAGTGTTTGAATTAGAAGCAGCCATTACTTGCTCACTGGAGGAACAGGAGGCTCTTAAACTGATACTTATTAAGTTCAAACCATTTAAGGAGCCAGAGTCCTTGCCAAATGTAGTGAGAAAGGCCCTCAGTGCTCTACCAATGGTGACTTGGAAAGGGGATTTAGATAGTAAATCTTCTGGCAATTTAAAATTCTGGAATAGGATCAGGTATTACATGCCAGTTAAAAAGGTCAAGAGAAATGGAAAACTATAACTTTCAGTACAATGGTAAAACATTTTCTTTCAAACATAAATAACAAAAATACCTCATATTTGAATATATATGCAAGATGTATATATTATGGAGATTAAACTCTAGGCAGAGGCAAAACATTCAGTCTCTTAAACAAATCATGAGCTGTTTATTTCCGGCAAGCTTAACATGATGGGTAAAGGCATCTAGCCCTAAAGAAAATGTAAGCTAGCAAAAGCAAAGATCTTCTTAACTGAGCATTACTGAGTACTTCTAGAAGCAAAGTCTCTTGTTCAAGGTAATGTTCCTTTCATAAGATCCATCATAAGGTTTCTGTCAACCTGACAGACTTAGATCCAATATTCTTTTAGTACACATATCTGTAAAAAATAAGTCAAGGCAACTGGACTTGCTGTATTTTTCTTGAAGACGTTTCACTGGTCATCCAACCAGCTTTCTCAATTCAGATTTTATTACACATCATAATGACACAATGCATGTCTCTCCTTGGACTGAGAGACACTCTCTCTGGCCTACAGCTTGGTCCAGCTGTCCTAATAAAGACCTGCACAGCAACAACCAAAATGTGGTGCATGGAATTGGGAGTCCAGAAACTCTGTCGGACTCTCAGCAAAACCAGCTCCAGTACACTTTTTCAATCAACACAGGGTAGGAAATCTATTTGTGGCACAGTTATTAAAATCAGATGTTTAAGAAACTGTGGAGGGACATACCTTCCATCAAACACTTTTAGAAACGTTTGGAGATACTTTCCTCTGGGATTAATATTGCCAAGGTTTTGGTAGCAACTAGCTTAAGGCTCCATGCTAGTTCACTAATGTTACAGTATATTGTACCGTATGTTATATTTACAGTTTGTGATGTTATTGTGTCTCTTTGACTTTCTAATTCAATGTTATTTCACCACTAAAAATGTGTCAGCCATATTTGTGCTATGTAAACTTATACAATGGTCCTCTCTTATTTGCTCCCTTTTGGTTTGATAAATATAACATTAAAGGCATTTTGGTATATTTGTTCAATAATTTAAAAAAAACAAACTGTTGATCGTTCCTTTAATCTTGTGAGCTGACAACTTCCTGTGTTTTCTGCCTGGGCTGCACTCTTATCAGTTAGCATAGTTCCAAGTTCTCTCACAGAACACTTCCCCAATGGTATAGAGAAGAGAGGGGAGATGTTCTTTAGTCATAAAACACTTCCTGTCCTAGGTTGACAACTCTGCTTTTCCATAGATACAGTACGCTGAGTGAGCATTGTCACCCTTGTATAGGAAAGGGAAAAAAAACATATAAAGGTACACTGCAGCCTCCACATCTAAAGACTAGTACATTCCAATACATAATACAATATATTACCAAAAGTATTGGGACGCCTGCCTTTACAAGCACATGAACTTTAATGGCATCCCAGTCTTAGTCCATAGGGTTCAATATTGAGTTGGCCCATCCTTTGCCGCTATAACAGATTCAACTCTTCTGGAAAGGCTGTCCACAAGGTCTAGGAGTGTGTCTATGGGAATGTTTGATCATTCTTACAGAAGCGCATTTATGAGGTCAGGTACTGATGTTGGACAAGAAGGCCTGGCTCGCAGTCTCTGCTCTAATTCATCCCAAAGGTGTTCTATCGGGTTGAGGTCAGAACTCTGTACAGGCCAGTCAAGTTCCTCCACTCCAAATTCGCTCATCCATGTCTTTATGGACCTTGCTTCGTGCACTGGTGCGCAGTTATGTTGGAACAAGTAGGGGCCATTCCCAAACTGTTTCCACAAAGTTATGAGCATGAAATTGTCCAAAATGTCTTGGTATGTGATGTCTTAAGAGTTCCCTTCACTGAAACTAAGGAGCCAAGCCCAACCCCTGAAAAACAACCCCACACCATAATCCCTCCTCCACCAAACTTTACACTTGTCACAATGAAGTCAGGCAAGTACCGTTCTCCTGGCAACCGCCAAACCCAGACATGTCCATCGGATTGCCAGAAAGAGAAGTGTGATTCCTCACTCCAGAGAACACGTCTCCACTTCTCTAGAGTCCAGTGGCGGCGTGCTTTACACCACTGCATCCGACACTTTGCATTGCACTTGGTGATGTAAGGATTGGGTGCAGCTGCTTGGCCATGGAAACTCATTCCATGAAGCTCTCTATGCACTGTTGTTGTGCCAATCTGAAGGCCACATGAAGTTTGGAGGTACGTAGCTATTGACTCTGCAGACAGTTGGCGACTTCTGTGCACTGTGCGCTTCAGCAATGCGCTGACCCCGCTCTGTCATTTTACGTGGCCTACCACTTCATGGCTGAGTTGCGTTTTTTCCCAGGTGCTTCCACTTTGTTATAATACCACTAACAGTTGACTGTGGAATATTGAATCCAATGATCTGGAGGGGTGTCCCAATACTTTTGGCAATATAGTGTATGTTTATTCTTGGTTTAGATATGCTATGATGAATATCATAAACTTTCATTAAGGTCATGTCTCTAAACTTCTATTGGTCAGTAAATTCACAGAATAATAAGAAACATGGTAGTGTGGCCTTCTTGTTATACTTGACTGTTTTCCTAGTTTTCTATAGACACTTGTGCGCTCGATTACTCTAAAAAAACTGGACGTTCCTCCTTACAGCTGCTCACTTAAATTGGCTGAATGAGCCTGCATTAATATCATTCAAATATGTGAAGTGGTGCTATCATTCAACAAAGTAAACAAATAATGTGTACAAAATACAAATATAACAGTGAACAATACTTCTGTGAATACAATTTTCCAACTAAATCTTCTGATCAACTGCTTGGGTGAATCAAAGGTAATTTTCTTTGAAAAAAAGACTCAAAAGTGACTAGTAAAATAGCAAATGTCCTGTGTCAGTGTGTTAAACACATAATTGAAACAAAGTGCCCATGAAATCATTACATGCAAAGACAATTCTCTCAAGTGTTAATGTATAAAATAAAACAGAGAAAACAAAAAAACATGTATTCTTAGTCTTTCTTTGTGTGTCACTCTGTCCACTCTTGTGATTTCTTGTGTATAATCTTTAAACCATAAAAAATAAAAATTAGAATTCTTTGCTGCAGTGCTCACAAAATACACCAATGCTCTGATATATAAGCCTCTCACCTCCGTGTTCAGACCCTTGGGTGTGAAAACACTTCTTGTAGAATTAACCTCCTTCCTCACAATATTTGAGGCAGTGATCCTCCTCCCTTCAGATGAAACCAATCCTGATCTTATCGCTTTCTCTTCTACCGACAGCCCATCTTCATCTCAAAAAAATCTCTCAAAGACAGAAGTGGAAATCATAGCGCACCCCATATACAGTAAAATAATTATTTTATTAAAAGGATTACACTCACATAAAAAAATAATAAGATTGCATAATCAGACTCTCATTCCTGGATGCCATGTCTATCCTCCTCTTTCTCTTCCAGGCGTTCTGACATCACTGACTCAGCTTCTACGCATTTCGTTTAATTGACTTCATCAGGAAGCTAGAGTCAGTGAGTCTATCAAGCTCATAAATACGGGCACTCTGTTAACTGTTGCTTTGATACCTATATTAACCCATTGCTATCTTTAATCTTCATGTTCATACCATCTAAACCAATACCACCTTTTACATGAAAAATATATTCAAATAATGTTAAATAAACAGATATTATTAAAACAACCATTTACACTATTCCTAGTTTGCTGAAGAGATATATTTTAGGGGGTATTTTCTTTTTTTAAACTATAAATAGAAGAATATGTAATAGAATAATAACACACATACATTTTGTTTTACATAAACATCTTTAAAAAAAGAAGGGGGTGGTGGTACAAGACTAAGAGGAGAAATGTGAACACATGTATAAATCAAGGAATCACAAAAGATACATGAGTTCATTAGCAGGACATACCAGTAGTAACAGGTTGGATAAAATAAGGGGATAACTACACTCATATTCTCATACTCTATGATCTATGATAGTATATAACATATGCCCAAGACTGCAGCCTATCTAAACGGTGGGGTTGGCAAGATCTTAATGTTGGGGTTCTTCAGGTCTTATTTAGCTGTAGTGGGTTGCATGAATGTTAGCTTTGGAACATAGGAACAGTAGTTGAAAGGCTGGCTACATATTGTCAGGGATTTGCCAGGGAGAGAGGAAGCCATAGGAGGGTGTAGGAAAGTAGGGTGGGTAGTATGTGGAAGAAGAAAGGGGTGGGGGGATGCCCTCCTGATCAGCCCATGTGAAAGGGGTCCAATACATTTAATTTAGGTAAATATAAATGAATGAGAAAATTATGCAATCAATTAATATTTTCTTGTTAACAAGTAATACTACTATTACTAATAATGATCATATGTAGAAAAAAACCCAAACACATATACACGTAATACATTTGATTTAGGAAAATTTAAATTAATAAGTAAATTATGCAATCAGTGAATCTTTTTTGCTAACAAATATAATGCTCCTGTAGACAGTCAATGATAATGCAGATAGCCTTTAGGCATTTTGTTAATGACATAAAAATACAGTTATGTTATTCTTATAAAATGAGTGTTTGACATAAAGTCATATTTTATACCCAAACAAAAGTAACAACAAATTCCACAATACTGCATTTGTGTTTAATGACATTAAAGTGCTGCATACATGGCTGTTCACAAGGTGGCAATATTGTTATGTGTAAACACTGTCTGGCAAAGCCCTGCTCATCATTCTCAGACATCACACCTGGTCAGAATATACTGCTTCTGAACTCAGAGCACTAAGTGTGTCAGATTTCACAATAACACAGAGACCAATGTAAAAACTGGGCGGACTAACTTGCCACAAGAGAAAATTGCCACTGAATATTACATGTTCAGTCAAAGAAAATGAATCCTATCTTAAACAAATACTCTGACCAGGTGACTCCTTCCACAAACAAGAGCCCAATTTTCAGCACTACATAAGACTATCAGAACTGGCTTCTGTTTTATTTTCTTCCTCTATAACAAAAAAATGAAAAAGAACTAATAGAGAGTGTCCATGATCAATAAGAATACAATTTTCATGTGGATAAGATGATGTTGTGACATTGTTTTTATTATACCATGTAGAGATTATTGGCCAACGAAAGCCTGAATTACTGCTTGAAAATGGAAATATTTTGCTTTCTTATTCTACTAATGATTTTGAAAAGCTCAAGTGCAAACTCAGATATGACTACAGGAATCCCAATAATTGAAAATCCAGAAGCAGCGGAAAGAATACATGTCTTTTCTGTGGATTACAGCCAGGTTCAAATCCCCTACGAAATCACCCTATGGATCATTCTCGCTTCCTACGCTAAAATTGGTAAGTTCCTAATTTAAGTTTCTTATATGAAAATGCCTTGCTTTTTTTGGCTTGTCTCTCTTGCCATATTTTACAAGTTCTAACATTCTTAAAATTAAACAAGTGCCTGCTCTAGTTATTTTTAACTTGGGGTTTTACAACAGTGTAGTGCTTCATTTTAAATGTTAGGTAATTCTTCCGAAAAAATTTAAAATGTAATAAGTATAAATAAACTATATATATAGATATATATCTATATACATATATAGATATATATCTATATATCTATATATATATATACACACACACACACACATTATATTCACTGTGCTCCATCCACAAAGTAGACATTGTTATAATATCCACACATGATAAAATCTAATTTGTATACCGTATATACTCGAGTATAAGCCGTCCCGAATATAAGCCGAGGTACCTAAAAGATTAGATATAAAAATTAAAATAAATGACTCAAAGACACCATATGTACATTTACTGTCACTAGGTAGCAACCTTTATACACTTGGAAGATTGTATCATATGAAGCAGTTCCCTTGCATCTTACCACAATTGTTAAACTCAGACATTAAAAATCCAAATTTTCTTTCAAATCCCAAGTAATTAAAGCTACGATTCTCAAACTCATTAAATGCACAGGCACACATTTGCTATTTAGTTTAATATATAGGCACATCCTCTAGAATTGATTTTTGAAAGCACTCAAGTCTCAACTTATTTTTCACTGTTTACAAGTGATTGGCTAAATGGCATCAGAGTAAAATAAGCTTTCAGCTTCCCTACACAGGAGAGGGGCACTTAAATGACTTATTTTTATATATAAAAGTCACTTAAAGATCAACCCCAGTCAAAACATTTTCTAATGCTTATTAAAAGTGCAGAAGAGTTTCAATTTATGTTTTTGTTCGGTTTGTGCCTGCGTCAGAAAGAATAGTTAATTGGGACACACATGGCCAGTTTTCTAGTAGTGTGAATGAGGGTACTTAAGGGGTTAAGTCTTCTGTCAAGTTTTTATTGCTGCCTGTGTCCTTACTGGGAATATTTCTTTTGACTTTCTTTCAGGTGATCAGTGCAGACTGAACAGGAAGTAAGGGGAAATCTCAATGAGTATGCAGTCAGGACTTAAATCCTGACAAAATGTAGAACATTTCCCTAGTCTATCCAAAACTTAAAGGCTATGTTGGTTTTTGGTCAACTTTATTTTAAAGTTTATACAGTTTTAAACACTTACAGACTTTAGGCTTGCAACATGCAGTAAGTCTTAAGCCATGTCCGTTTTCCCTTGCTGCCACTCCCCTCTGCCACTCTTACCAGCAAATGCTGGCTGTCAAAATGTGAACATTGTTTGTAAGCTTCATTCAGCTATTCAATGTAACAGCATTACTGTTACATTGTATTTACTCTATCTTATTCATCTGCAGATCAAAGCTGTAATCTTCGATCAGCATATGATGTCATGAAAAAAGTAAAATGTGTTCCTATTTAACCCCCTATTATTTCTTAGGTAACTCTAATCACCTCGTATTATTTCCCTTCTCACCTTCGCTATTGCGATATTAGTGAAGTCTGACAAACTCCAAAATGTGTGGAGAGAATAGGAAAGCAGTACATGACAGCGCACCACCCTCATTTTCCCCAGAATTTTCCCCAGAAAGTCAGTAACAAATATTTAAACATTTAAATCTCATGTCTGTGGTAGGCCACCATGGAAGGTGACTAGGGATGGGCTCGATGTTCGAGTCGAGCAAGAGTTCGACCCGAACATCGGCAGTTCGTGTGTTCATCGAACACACAAACTATCAGGGCGTTCGTCGGGCTATTCGCCCGGCGAGCTCCCCACAAGGCACTGCGCACCGCCCTGATTGGCTAAAGCCTTGCACCGGACCACACTTTGCAATGAACACACAATGAACACCCAATCACATGCAAGAAAAATATAAAAAAAACAGTATTTTAGCTTCCCCATGATTGGGTGGTGGAAGTCAGCAGGACTTCACCTCATGTACTTTCCCGCTTCCCTCTGACACCTGACACACTGGTCATGGGATCTGACGGCAGCTCAGCTTACACAGAATTTAAAGGGGCCCACTGCCACCGACGTATGAGATACACTGCGGAGCAGCAAATGGGTTAAGAAGTAAACAGCCTATTTGCCTTTAGTAAACCAACCCCATAGTGTCCAAATACAAGCAGCATGTGTATTGTTAGTTAAATCATGGTGTCCTTTGTATTTCCTTTGGGTATATGCAGTAATCCAGCATGAAACAACTCCTGTACTTCCATAGTTTCCTGTAAGTCCAGTCCTTGCTACTCTCTTTCTTTGTGCTGAGCAACTCATCTTGTGTCCCCCACCTGTATAGGCAGCCTGTAGTGTTAGGACCACCTACAGCTCTGCTTTTTGCACAGGCTATGTGCAGTGCAGTGATGGTGTAATTACTACTTTTACAAGGAAATGTATGGGTTTGCAAAGTAGTTTGGTAAATATAACATGGATATACAGTTGTGTGAAAATAAAGTACACCCTCTTTGAATTCTATAATGTGAAGTAACAGGAAATAATAAAAATCATCTGGTCCTTAGTAGGTCTTACAATTAGGTAAATAAATCCTCAGAAGAACAACACATGACATATTGCACTGTGCCATTATTTATTTTACAAACATGAAGCCAAAATGGAGAAGTTATGTGTGAAAAATTACATACACCCTTACTGTTTCCATAAGAATTAAAGGAGAACTATGAGGTGAGTGAAAAGCCCTCATCCTCATAGTTCTAGCCAAAGTGTGACAATGAAACTGTCACACGTCACCTCAATAGATCGGGAAGTGAGCGAACACATACCGTCGCCCACTTCTCGATCATCTCCCTGAAGAAAGGGGTGACTGTCAGTCACCAATCCCAGCAGGGATTCCCCACCTTCCCGCTCCAATCCTCCAGCCCTGACTGGAGGAACGTACGGGGGAGGGGGCAGGTACAGCTGGCTCTGCCTCTAGATAGGCAGAGCCAGCTGTCACTCATGCAGCTGGGTGGATCTCATCAGTAATATCGGAATCCGTCCCGGCTGCGGCGGTCTCAGTATACCGCGAGCTGTGGCTCGCAATATACTGAGGTTTGGGTCATGGGAGGACGCTAGTATATATCCTCCCGTGACCCTTAACCCCTAGGCTAAGTAGCAGCCAGGTGCTGCTGATCAAATGCCCTCGATGTAATAACAAATATGCTGTGACAGGTCCTCTTTATGGAGACATCAGGGATCTTTCAGACCCCCAAAAAAACGATGAAGCAGCAATCTGCTTCACCAGCTTCTTCTTCTGGCTCTAGAAGCTGGAGAATGTAAACATTGACACAGAAAATTATGTTATACACATCACTTCCAGGTCCAGTGATCGGAAGAGAGATCAGTGGCTAGAAGCTTGCTGAGCTCCCTCCGATCAACGGGAGACCCGCTGTGTAAGGCCCGCATGGGGGACAGGGAAGCCTGGTTACTCGGTGGCAGCAGCGGAGGGGGCCACATTCCACCACATTACTTGTATCTTAACAGGCATCGCTGGCTGTTTAAAATGGTGCCAAAAACACAGCTGTGTTCTTGGCATAACCGCTACGGGGGAGGACGTGTATAAATGTTAACCCGTGTGAAGTGGTTAATTGATCATCAGTAAGTGTGACCACCTCTATAAAAGCTGAAGCTTTAGCGGTTTGCTGGTCTGGAGCATTCAGGTGTGTTAAGACAATGCCAAGGAGGCAAGTCATCACCAATGATCTCAGAGAAGCATTGGTTGCTTCCCATCAGTCTGGGAAGTGTTATAAGGCCATTTCGAAACAATTTAAAGTCCATCATTCTACACTGAGGAAGATTATTAAACATCTTTGGGACAAATTGGTACACTGATTGTCAATCCAGTTTTCTTATCTAATGTTAGAAGCCTTCCAAATGCTCTTCTGAATGATTGGGCACAGACACCCTTTAAAATTGTGTGGAAAACCTTCCCAAGAGATTGCAGGCTGTTCATATTTGTGGTAATGGCTATAAATTGTAGTGTATGTTAACCTGAAAGAATTTAAAAAGAAAAAATCATTTAATTTATTTAAATATAATGTGAGTGTGTGTGTGTGTGTGTGTGTGTTGGGGGGGGAATTGCATGAAGACATTTAATTGTAGAATACACCAGAATTTTCTGATTTGTAGGCTAGATACTGAAGTGGAGTTTTGAATGTGTTTTTTGGGCAGGGGAAAAACTGGTTATACCCAATTTCATGAGTATTGTCTTTGAATATTTCTAAACAACATAATTTTATTCAATAGGATTTCATCTGTACCACAAATTGCCAGCAATAATGCCAGAGAGCTGCATTCTGATAGCTATTGGTGTACTAATGGGAGGAATCATTTTTGGGACAGATCACAAAGCGCCACCTGCTATGAGAACTGATATTTATTTCCTTTATCTGCTGCCTCCAATTGTGCTGGAAGGGGGATACTTTCTACCTACTCGTCCTTTTTTTGAAAACATCGGAACCATTATTTGGTGGTCTGTGATGGGGACACTTATTAATGCCTTTGGCATTGGCCTCTCTCTATATGCCATCTGTCAGATTGAAGCCTTCAGTTTGACTGATATTAATCTGTTACAAAACTTGCTCTTTGGAAGCCTGATATCAGCAGTGGATCCGGTGGCTGTTCTTGCTGTATTTGAGGAGATATCTGTAAATGAACAGCTATATATGATGATTTTCGGAGAATCCTTGTTGAATGATGGAATAACAGTGGTAAGTCATGTTTTTTATGTAATTAAATGGTACACAGTTTTGTAAAATTATCAATTTCATAGATTCTAGAGTCTATAACTGCCCATAAAAACCATGAACAAATATAAAAACACGCAAAGCAAGAATTAGTGAACATGGCAGCTGTGAGGTAATCAGAACTGACACAAAGAGACAGGAAAACCCATATTGCAAGTTATTTTCATTTGTAAAATGTTAGCAACCACAACCATTCATAGTGAACCTGTACTTTGCCTATACTCAGCAAAATAACTTTACTCAATAGAGCATCAGCAGCATGTGATTACCTTTCATTCTATGCCATGCCACTGGCCCACACAAGAAATGCCTGGTACTTACAGTAGGTGGAGGGGGAACATGTGACACTCCTCTGGTTTCCCAAAAGTGCAGTACTATGTAGCTGAGCACCTAACTGTATAGCTCAAGCACTTCCCCAGGGCCTGCCAAGAGAGAGAGAGGGGTCCCCAAGAGGTCAGTTATTCGATGTGCAATCTGAAATTGACCTTTGGTCTAAATTGAAGGCTGGGGGCCTGGGAAAAATGCCTAATTCTAATTTTCAGATGATCCTAATTGTTAGAAGGAGAGACAGAGAACATAGGACAGGTGGCTGTCCTATGAAGACATAGGAAGTGATCCAAAAAAATACAAAGGGGTACCTAGTAAACTTTATAGATAGACCAACAACAACAACAAAAAAAAGTCTCAACTACCAAAGTTAAAAACAGTAGCTTTTGTTTCATACAGTTTCAAATGTTTGCAGAAGCCAAATTGTTGCACCAAAGCACCTCCGTAAAGTGTGTGCCCTAAATCAAAACTATCTGAATTCCTAACAGTATAGCAGTGCAAAACTTAGAGCAGGTTCACCTGGAGGCATTCCCTTACTCCCTAAAGGTATAGCAACTCACCAGATGCTGAGACATTTTTCTTTCACAGGGATCTGTCCTAATGGAAAGACTTGGGACTGAAATTTGAGTATTGTGTTTATCTGATAAGCTTAATTAGCATACAATGGACAGGCCACCTCAGACCCCTTACCCCTCACAGCCCCTCCTAACATTTCAAAGAACTAGAAGCAAGAAGAAATGTGTACCCTAGCCCAAGTAAAAGCAATATAAAACAGCAAAAATTATTTAAACATTTTTTTTTACCTTATGCTATGTGAATGGGAACATGAAGCAAACATAAAATAGGTGTTATCCCAATTTGGCTGCAGAAGTGGAAATACACTTTAACTAAACTGTCTCAACTACAGCGTCAACAGAAGCTTCTATTGCATAAATGCGAAAATACATATTGAAGCCAAGTTACCTCTATGAAGTCTGGACCCTTGCTTAAAACTATCCTAACTATGATGCAAACATGGTAGTGCACAAACTAAGAGACGGCTGACCTGGATGCAGGTCCACTGGTGTCGGAAAGTAGATTGGGACTCCAGAGTATGTGTAAGGGATGTTCTGTTAGTGTCCATAATGCAGCTCCTGCACCTACTAATGCACGAGCTGTTGCGCATCAATATATAAAGTGTTACATGCCAACATCACACATACATAAGTGCATGCATGCAAACAGAGACGCGCATGTATCCGCAAGTCACGGCGTGCACACGCCAGCGTATTGCTGCCAGTGGCATCAAGTAGGCTATTTAAAGATGCCTGTTACAGCTGCACATTGCTGAGAGATCTTCAGTGTTCCCTATGTTATTTCCTGACTCGGTTCCTGCTGCTTGCTGCCTGCCTTCTGACCCCGGCTTCCCCACTGACCATTCTTCTGGATTCTGATTTGGTAGTGACTTCGCCTTGTCTCCTGACTTCGCCTTTTCTTCTAACTTTGTACTTCGCCTGCCTGCAAGTTACTGACCCATTCTGTCTCCAACTCTGCTTCATCTGCTTGCCGTGGTATTGCACCACTCACTGCTGGCATCTTCACCTGCTGGTCAGTTTCTTCAATCACTTCTGGCATCTACCCTGCCTTCTACAGCACCAGCTACAGGCACTTGTGCCCCTCTCTCTCTGTACACCTTCTGATCCACCTCCAGGGGTACTCAGATGAGAGCTGCAAGGGGAGGCCTTCCTCATCACTTCAGGCTCACACCCAGGTACATGACAGTATGTGTCTAGTGCAGACACACACTGGAAGCCTTCAGCTGTCTGAGCTTCTGGTGTGTTATTGTACCTTTAAAAAGGAAAGGGCTGACTTTAGGTAGCTGAAACAGTTCAGTTAGGATTTTTTTTTCTGTTGGAAGGTCCAGTTACACAAGTTAGACTGAATAGTAGTATTTCATGATGTTTAGCAAACCCAGACTGTGCTGGCTCCTTGGTGCAAAAATAATCGCACTGTCTATCTTGGGTTGTTTTTAGCTCCAAATTTAATTTCATTAGTTGGGATTAAAAGAATACAGTCACCATCTTGGGAATTGGTATTGGGGGTGTGCATAAAAAATATGTGAGATGAGGCATTATGTTAATTTTGAGTAAATCCATCTAAACCAAGAAGGTGGGTTGTGGGTCCAGTTTGAAAGGTCCTTTGAGAGTTTCCTAAAAAGTGATGTAAAGTTGGCATTGTAAGGGGTCTAAAAATGAAAGTGTCAGGTAAATACCCAACTGTCTGTGGATGGAGAAGTTCATCTTAAGTTCATGAACCACATTATCCTGTAGGGTTTAATGCTGTTTAAGTGCTGTTTACTGTTAGTCCACATATAATGGAGAACATATTGAGGGTTTTGAGTTGATACAGAAATGTGATGATGTAAGAGAAATTCAGCATCAGGATATTGTCAGTGAAGAGTAAGCATTTGTTCTCCAATTCTCTGCTGGCAACACCTCTGATGTCTGGATCGTTTCAAATCTCCATGGCTTACAGTTCAAGGAACACTATGAATAAAAGTAGAGATAGAAAACATCTTTGTTTAATGCCCTTGCAATATCTGAGTCACTGTGGCAGTGTACAGATAGAAGCAGAGAGGGTGGTATATAGGGTTCCAATAATTTGTAGGAATTTTAGAACAAAATCAGGTATTTTAGTTTTATAAAGCTGGTAATGGGTTGGAAAAGGATGGGAGGGAAGGATGGGAGAAGGGAGAGCTTTGTCCCAGGATGTGCTTTAAATGTTATAATATTAATAATAGTAGTAATAAAAGATAAAAAAGAATGTTAACAAAACAAGTACAATATATTCAGAAAATATAATAATGAAGTGGTTTTAGATCTATGTGTATTTTTAACAATGTAATGATGGCAAGAACATCATGACCATTATACACAAAATAAATACAAGTGCACCTCTAATAAGTTCACCTGTACAGTCCTTAGAAGACTGGAACGATCCAGACAGCCTTGCATTTGCATAGTTACAAACCACAATGGTTACACCATAAACCACCAAACAAGCAAAGTGTATGTACATAGTTCTTTTAACTGCTGTCCTGTGCGATAAAAGGACTTGCAGTGCAATTACAGCTAGGAATGTCATCTTTGTTGTACGAACATATTGAATGAAAGAAGGTGATGGTTGGTCAGCAGACAAATCACAGTTGCTGTATGTGTTCTGTAGTTTCTAGGTCCACAGTTGGTTTGTGTCATGTAATTTCAGTTGTAGGCATTAATCTGTTGTGCTTTTAATAATGGCTTGCATTGTATGTTCAGGAACAAAGTAGTATAATAGTTACAGAGTAAAAAAAAACAAAAAAACCTCAGAACACTACTGCAAACAAGCCAAATGTAAACAATGAAACCAGCCTTTAAGGGCCCATGCACATTGGGCGTTTAATTGCGCGATTTCCGCCGCGATATCGCACATATTTGCCGCGCGATATCGCGAGAAGTCGCCGTCCAATGATTTTCAATGGAGCTGTTCTATTGAAAAGCTCAATCTCGCTTGTCGCTGTTGCTCGTCACTTGTGCGGGACCCTCTCTCCCGCGGATGTCTTGCGATTTTTCTATTTTTGCATGTAGCCCGATGGTGAAGGTTGCGCGATCATCGCTGGAACGTCGCCCCGAACAGTCGCGCTATCCCGGCCGAGGTAAGTGTCGCTTAGGCTGGGTACACACCTAGGCGTATCGAATATGCACGTTTGTCTCGCGTTTCGTGCCGTGCATTTTTACAGCGACTCGCGGTAAAAAAAACGTGTTCCAAACGCGCGTTTCTGAGGGCCACCTGGCTGTATCCCAATGGATACGCGCGGCAAATACGCCCCAAAGAAGCTCCTGTACTTCTTTGGGCATAGGGCGTTTGTAAAACGACCAGGTGGGAACCATGTCCATAGGCAATCATTGGTTTTCACATGTTGAGCGTTTTACAGAGCGTAGGACAGTGCTGTAAAACGCCCAGGTGTGAACCAGGCCTTAGTGTGAATGGGGCCTAAAGTTATCAATGTGTGATAATATCATCTGTGTAGTTAAGAACATCATTGAACATGGATTTTCTCATAACACTAAGAAATTAACAGATGTTGATATAGGGGTGCCCAAAGGTTAAAAACAGAGGCTTTTGGTGCAAGCATTTGCAAATGTACTTTGAAGACAAACTGCGTCATCAAAGCACTTCTGTAAAGTGTCTGCCTTAACTCAAAACAATCTAAATCTCCAACTACAGAGCCTATATAGCAGTGCAAAACTAAGAGCAGGCTCAACTGGAGGCATTCCCTTCCTCCCTAAGGCACAGAAACACACCAGAAGACCAGATAATGACTTTGCAAGATTTGCAGATTTTACACAGCATCCCAACTTTTTTGGAGTTGGGGTTGAATGTGTTTTAGTAGTGTATGTAGCTGTCTGCCTGCTGTTTACATTTAAACTGACAATGTGCTATTATAACTGACAATGTTCCATTATTCCAAACCTGCACTATTAGAGAAATGTAATAAAAAGCAAGAAATACCTGGAAAACTGTTGATGCTCTTATACCAGTCATGCTGTTGCAACCTGACCGAAGCTTCAACATAATACAAATATTTTGAAATAAATGCTGTGAACACTTGTCAGAGCCGGTAACACAGACATTTATAACAGAATACATAATTTCTTGCACAATTGTAATGTGGAAAATAGTTATTGAACAGTGATGTCACTTCATCCAGTAAGTAATGGATTGTCCTCCTTTTCTCTATCTATTACCCGCATTAGATTATTTGCTGAATATGGGCTCGATTACTGTTTTTCTGAATTAGTTACCAACTAACATCCTCAATACTTTATTTCCAAAATATTCATAGAATTTAGCAAACTCTAATTTAGTAATGTGTTTACAGAGAGTGATTCGGGCTTTATAAATAAGAAACAGTTGAACCATCTTCAATATAGAAATTTTCTTTCTCATTTATTAAAACATGGGTATGGGCTGGTATTGCCCTTGGTAGCAAAGAACATTATCTGTTTTACCTGCTAACCATTTATTGTTAGATTGCATGTTTTGGACAACATACAATAAATTAGGTCCACACCTGAGCTTCTCTAAACACGGAAGTGCCATGGGTCACTTGCCCAATCACATAAAAAAAGAGGATGGATGCCATATGGCCACACAAGGCCAAAGACATCACTTCATCCCACCCCTTTGCTTATGTACAGCTGCGTGCAAGGAATTCCCCAGCTGCAGCTGATTGGGTGGAAGGAGCTTTCTTCTGTGTTCAAGAGAGCTCAGGTATGGACCGAGTTCGGTCCTAATCTAAGCTCATCAATAATCAGGACCATTGCCTGTAATTGCTATTGTTTTTTCTTATGGATCCTCTTCTTACTGCACATGTGTGACACAGGCCTATTTATTCCTGTGGACGAGCCATACTCATGCCAACCTCTAGTCATTTAAGAGAGTTTTGCTCATCTATAAAAATGAAAAGGGCTGCGGGGAGCATATACAAAAAAAAAGAAGACCCACCCAGGACATTTTTCTTTTTCCCCTCTCAGAGAGTTACGGAGTATGGTTATCTTACAACAATATTTAAAATATTTATAATTTATAATATCCATTCTTGATTAACACAGCGGGAACTTTCCATCTAATGCCACCTCCACTTTTACGGCAATGAGCGTGGTATACATTTTTACTAGCAGTTCCATCTGAAGGAGAGGAGAAATCATTAATACTGGTGTAAGCACTAACCACACACATTTCCAGGACTCCATTTGGAGAACATAGCATAAGCAGTAATAAGAAAACAAATTATGGGTAGTGTTTACTTCACTCTAATGCTGTTCAAGTCTCTGCTTTATACTTTACATTCAGTTATTCCCTCTTCCTTTACCTGTGCTAAAGTTTTCTGGATTATCAGAAAACTTCCAGTCAGCAGGCAACCATTACCGTTTTCACTAAATTTTGTAATACCAGATTATCTGAACTTCCAGCTCTTTGATGATAGGAATGTTACTGATATGGATTCATGGAAATAAGCCAGTGTTACATAGTAGAGTGGAAAGTGGTAAGATACGGTACTGTATTATTTTCAGAATACAATGTAGAACTGGTATTTCTACACTCCACCTAAACCCATGCAATGACATGTTTTTCTAAAATAGGCTGTGACTGTCAATTATACACAGTAGTGATGTGGAATATTTTAAATATGGGCTGGCTGAGCTTGTCTGCCAATGTAAATGTGGATTTAATTATATTTCCACCAGTCGATTTCACAACTACATATATATTTGTATTCCATATATTAAACCCTATTTATTGGCCTGTACACATAAGCAATATGTGAACAAACACACCATATATTCTTTACTTTGTAGATTAGTAGCAAACAATATTTGAACTTGCCATGCATATCCTGTTGGATGAATTCATGGCTATTTAAAAATGTTCTGCTTTGCAGAGTACATTCTATTTAGTGTGGTACTTGCAAACAAAGTAGGAAGGAATATTGATTTAGGGAAAATACTTCCTTTAGCAGTGCAGTCACGAAAGAAAGATTGCTTGGCAATTGCTTTACATTATAATACAAAATGTAATTGCTAAGTTATCAGTATTGCAGGTATGCATAGTGTATATATTAAAGTCCAATTGAAGTCTTCTTTTTAAACTTGTTATGCAGTAGACATGTGCATTTTGTTTCGTTCTAAATTGAAATTCGGAGAGATATTGGCATATTCTGACATTCGGATGTGTCCAAATTTCCGAATGAAAGAAATAACAAATCCAAGCTTATTTGAATTTTCCGGAAAAAAAATTTGGATGCATCCAAAAAATTTTCTTGAATGTTATTTGGAATGAACTTGTGTTGGTAAATGTTAAAGTAAAAAAAACAAACAAACTGTGTGGAGTCGCCTCCTCAATTAATACCAGACCCTGGTCTGGTAGGAATTTTAGGGGGGATCCCAATGCCAAAAAAAAAATCATGTCCTCCTAAAATCCATTTCCAGACCCTTTATCCGAGCAGCAGGAAAGGAGGGGGGGTGAGCGTGTGAACCTCTCCTTGTGCACCATACCAGGCCACATGCTCTCAAAATGGGGAGAAGCACAAGGGTCTCTTCCCCACAACCCTGGCCCGGTGGTTGTGGGGTCTGCAGGCAGGGGAGCTTATAGGAATCTGGGTGTCCCCTTTCATTAAGGGGGCACCCAGATGCATTCCCCCTTGTGAATGAGTAAGGAGTAGTTGTCCCTTCCTAAAACACCAAAAACACTCAAATAGTAAATAAGCACACCATAAACAAAAAGTAATTTATTTAAAAAAAAAAGTTAAAAAACCCCCCACAAAATTACTATCGATGTAAACCAAAAGTCAATCACGTTGCCCAGCGATGTAGATCCATGTCAGTCACGATGGACGATGGCCAATGGACGATGACTCTGCGAAAAAATAATTCCTCGCTGCCTGAACCCGAAGAAAACCGGCTGCAAAATGACAGCTCTGCTCCCGATTGTCAACAATAGGGCCAGAGCGAGTCGTGGAAACATGGGACTTGTTTCGCCCATTTGTTTACATTCTGTGATAGCTGTCGGTCCCCTATGGAGTGTAAAAAAAATGGGCGGAACAAGTCCTGGGATGTCACAACTCACTCTGTCCCTTTGTTGATATTCGGGAGCAGAGCTGTCATTTTGCGGCCGGTGTAAGTTGGGATCGGCCGTGGTGCCCGTGATTTCTTTTCAGTGAGTCAGCAGCAGTTCTCCATCAAGATTGATGTAGAGCTACATTGCTGGACGACGTGATTGACATTTGGATTACATCGATGGACTTTATTTTATTTTTTAAATAAAGGACTTTTTATGGTGTGGCCTCTTTATTTACACAAATCCAAATAATGAAACAAATTGACTTTTGGAACCTGAAAAATGAAAAATCCGAAATGGAACTATTTTTTTGCTGGGGCACATGTCTATTATGCAGTAAGGCATAACAAGAATATAGCAACCAGTGACAACCATATCCAACCAGTCATCCACATATCGTAGGCTATATTGAAGGCATATTGTAGGCTTTTTACTGCTATCCAGGGCTCCATTAGGGAGATTCCCTCTCACTTCAATTCCTGCTGACAATGGTATCACCATACAAAGAGTGAGGGCAACTCAATTACAAATCTTTTGGCAAATATGTTTTTAAAGTTTGTATTTAGCTGTTTTCCTCGAATTACACAATAATCTGTATTACAGTTGTTACCTCCCACAAGAGAAATGCTTCCTATTTGACTGCTATGGACCAAAAATAAAAAAGAAACATTTCAACTGATTACATATATATATATATATACAATAGCAAGTATGCTGGGTCTTGGTTTTAAAGAGACTGCTTTATTCAATAATATTGAAAAATATACCATAGTTTCCCCACATATATAAAAAAAATTCCATACTTGTGCTCCAGTATACGATCATCATAAATAATAGTACCAACCATATCAGAAGAACGTAATAAATAAATATTTGTGTGCCCCCAGACCATGTTGAAGTGTGGGAGACTCCAGAGACTGCCACCATCCAGGAGCTATCTCATTCCAGCACAGAGTTGGAATATTTGTTTTATGTTTGGTCAGCAGTAGTCAAATGAGCAGCATCTCCCATGTGGGTGGTAATTATATGTATTTATGTGTGCTGCAGACTCTGGCCTTTATAGGTAACGGTTTTGAGGCCTATATCTTTAGAGTGGCATTATAGTTGCCAAACAAAAATAAATTTGATTGCCCATTTTATTTTATGATGTATGTAATTTATATCTCCTTTACAGGTGTTATATAATATTTTTATCTCATTCATACAAATGCACACCTATGAAAGCATTGAACCGGTAGACATTCTAGCAGGCATCGGGCGTTTTTTTATGGTTGGAATTGGTGGTGTACTTATTGGGATCATATTTGGATTCCTCTCTGCTTTTATCACCCGATTCACCAAGAACATTACCTCTATTGAACCCCTTCTTGTTTTCATGTTCAGCTATCTGTCATACCTATCTGCTGAGGCCTTTTACCTCTCTGGAATCTTGGCGTAAGTACCACTAAGCAATGTTGTAAATATGTTTTATTGTTATATTTATTTTTTATACAGTACAGTAAAAATTGATGTAACTCAAGTTATCAAAAATGTTTGATGATCAGAAAGGTAGGATGAAACCACAGTACATCTACAGCATGGTAAAGAGTTGTGCGTAAACTGCTTTGTACATATGTGGTGAAGAGACCTCACAAAGCAATAAATGTGAACCTGTTAGGCCCTTTCAAGAAGACATTTCTGAAAGGGTGTAGAAAATCAAAAGGCTGAAATCTCAAGAACACTATTTATAAAGCAGTTAAAGGTAACTCTCAAACATTTACAGGTAGGGAATCAATTACTCTCATTTAAAACACATGTAAAAAAAAATATCGGTACTCGTGCTCGATATTGTTTCTGTGGACTGTCAAAAGTAAAAAAAAAGAACATTTACTGTCACTTTGCTGCGACAAATGACACATTGGTAATTATTGTTTAACTCATCCGAAATTAACGAAAAATTCAGATTTCGAATAATCAGAATAATGAACGAAATGACTTTTTAACCCAAATCCTGAAAAACGAAATAACGAAAAATCATGGGTAGCTTCGTATTGCAAGGCAATTTTTATTAGATTTTAATGAAAACAAAATTGTTAATTTAATGGCAAGAAAAATAGTTCAAACATACCTCTAGTCTTGACGCTACAACCTGCTTACTTTCTGTACTGTCCCTATTGGACTCCATGGGTAGCACATACAGTTGTGTACTAGCTATATATAAAATAAAGAGACATGTTTACTTGCTGTTATTTATTTTAGCATTAATTGGCAAGGAACTACATGCAATGTATTATTTTCTATTTTATTAAATAAATCTTTTTTATGCAACCCCTAAATAATAATATTTGACATGTGTATATATTTTTGTAGCATATATTGTTATTTTAGATACACTAAACATATATACTTTCACTTTTTCATGTTTTCTGCTCCATGATCCCGCGGTTGGTGCCCCTTTGATTTTACGTTTGGTCATTTAATTTTTCCATAATAACCTGTGATAGATCTATTAACAATAAGGAAACAACAACAGGAAAATGTAAATATCTCTTTATAAAAACAGCAACTTGGTCAAGCTTGTTTCACAAACACCTAGGTGAAAAAAATCAATATGCTAGTATTTAGACACAGGTTCCTTACATTTTCCATATAGGTATGGAGTAATTATCTCTGTGTGTTTTACCAGTATGACAGCTTGTGCAATGACCATGAAGAATTATGTGGAAGAAAACATCTCCAAGAATTCAAGTACAACTATAAAATACTTTATGAAGATGTTGAGCAGCGTGAGCGAGACTCTTATATTTGTCTTCATGGGTGTCTCCACAGTTGGAAAAAACCATGAATGGAACTGGGCTTTTGTCAGCTTCACGTTACTCTTTTGTCTGATATGGCGAGCTCTAAGTAAGATGTTTATAAGTTTTACTAATTATTACACTGGTCCAGCATCAAAATAGTAGCCTCATATGCCCTAGTGCGAGATATATAACAAAAATAAAGTAGACAGCCTTGTATCATTTATAAATTTGGGTAAGTTTGCACTAGTTTCTTCTGTGTCAAGTATACCTACTGCCTTTATATTGGGCAAGTAACTAAGTGGATATTTGAAATATCCTTATAGTTATAAAATATCCACATACCACATGGGTTAATTTTCTACATTTTTGATTATTCTAAATTAATTTGATATATTATCTAATAATTTTATCCATAAAAAAGTTAATTTCCTAAACATACAGTACATGCCACATAGGTGTGGGATCATAATTGTTTTGCCAGAAATAAATATTTGCATTCCCCATCACTTGATCCAGCTAGTCAGCACAGAAAACCTTATTAAACTGTTTCTAACATTTAGATGAAAACAGAGGTTTCTGTTGTGTAACTTTTAAATATGTGACGCACACACACACACACACATACACACACTCATGCACACATATTATTAGACATGTGCAAAGACTAAAAATTAGTTTTGGACTAAATGAATGGAAACTAAAAATGTTTTCATTAGTTTTGTCAAACTAAACAAATGTTTATGCTATTTTTGATTTGGCCACCAGCCCATTCTGTGCATGCATGCCGACATCTTGGAGTTGGGGCACATGACGAATCACATGACGCAGTGCGCAGCGTTGGGTGACATAACACATCTGTTGGGGGGCACAATTTTTTGTTCTTGCCTCGGGTGCAAAAGGACCTAGCTACAGCTCTGCCTGAAGCCAGGAGATTTCCAAGGGAATTCTGTGCTTTAACAGTGACCAGCACCCAATGACTGTGCACCTGTACACAAACCTTATGAAAAGGCTGCTGGCTAATGTTCAGGGCTTCACCTGGGAGACAGGAGGTCTCCAACCAGGAGTTAGAGTAAAGTCCAGTGCAGCAGGGAGCTGCAGGTTGTGAACAAGTTGTTTAGGTTAGCATGGTGCTGAAGTCTGGAGGAAACAGACAGTTGCCCTGAGGATTGAGGCCGGAGCAGCAGTGCTGAAAGAGAAAAACATTAAAGGACTGGGACACTGAGTGTATGGGACAACCTGAGAATGGTGAGACAATAGGTTCTGTTTGCTGAAAGACAAGTGGACTTTATGCTGTGCTGCTGAAGAAAGCTATTTTCTGTTACAGAATAAATAAAAGACTGACCTTTTAATGTTAAAATGGCTTTGGGGCTGTTTATTAATCGCTCACCATTGTGCTAACATCCCCAAATATTACACAGGATTAACAGCCGTACATCGGCTGGCTTCAGCTGCACTCCGGCAGCTCCCTCGCTGCCGTGGCCCCTATTCTCATAGGGGCAGAATGGTAGTGAGTGCATTGCCGAATGCCGCCAAGCAGCATTTGGCTCAGCTATTCTGCTCGGTACCGGGCAGAATAGCAAATAGTGGAAAAAAGTAGGGAAAAAAGTAGGAAACAAATGTTTAAAAATCTAAATAAATAATACATTTAAAAAACTAAATAACGATTTGTAAAAAAATAAAAATAAAATAAGAAAAACAATTGGGTGGAGCTAGCAGTACCAGCTAGCTCCGCCCAACTGTTTCTTATTGGCCGGCACCTGCTAGAGTCTTCTAGCAGGTCCCGGCCAATGAATAACAACTGGGCGGAGCCGTCCGCCACGTCACGGCCGGCTTCGCCCAGTTATTATTGTTTAATGACAGATCAGCGTACCCAGGTCATTTGGGGATGCTGATCTGTCATTACAACTGTCATTACCAGCCATCATTTGCAAAGCGTTCAGCTGGCCTTCGGCCAGCCGTTCGCCCCTTTTCGGCTGTCACTTCGGCTCAGTCGAGCTGAAGCCTATGCCTTCGGGTCATCTGAGCTGCTCGGCTGCCTTTGGGAGCTGTACAGGCTATTGTGAATAGCCCCGTACAGCCGCCCTTCGGTTTGACTGAACTAAAATATACTTTTTAGCAAATCAATCAGCTTCTATCTTTCAATTTTAAAGCTTCATTAAACAAACTGAAGAGAGAAGCTGATTGGTTGCCATGGACAACTTCTCCAGTTTTGATACATTCCCCCCAATACAATTTCAAAAATATTGCAATAAATACCACACATACATTAATAACACAAGGTAATAAATAAGCCAATTAGATATACAGTGTATAATGAAGAAATGCCACAGTAAAGCACATAATATATGTAATAAAGCTCTTGTGAATTGACTCCAACTAGAGTAATGGCTACTGGATAGCCTCACCGTAAAACACTTTAAAAATAAAATTTAAAGTTATCATGCTTCTTTCTACATTAAAACGTATTTATGTATAATGCTATTTAACCTGAGGTCAGTGAGAATGACCTCTAGATGACATAGCTGTTAGTCCTAAGACAGTATAGCCAAGAAGTTTATTGTGCTTAACTTGTCCTTCAGCCAGTCACTCACTACCGCAACATACCAAGTGGGGGACAGCCACAGGTGAATCCTAAAGGCTGAATTATTTATTTCACTTTAGTAGGCCAGCATATTGTAGCAACCTCTCAGAAGGTGAGACTCCTCTAAGACACAACCCTTTTGGGCCAAAGCCCAGGGGATACAGAAGGTAGCACACCACTTGCAGGAGCCCAGTAAAACAAGAACATACTGGAAGGTTGTCCAAGCCATCATCTCCCTCACTCAAACCCCTAAGAGAAGCTCCTCAGTGACTGACCAGGCTAATTACTATTCATAACACATAATATTAAATACATTTACTGCTTACAGCAAGGTCCCTAAATATGTGTATTTTACTATTTTAAAATTATTATGTAGAATGATGATTATTATTTATATTGGTAGTTGTAGAACATACTATCAGTAGTAGCATCTGATTAATTTAAATTTTGTGTTTCATACAATGCAGGTGTTTTCCTTCTTTTTTCGATAATAAATCGTTTCCGGACATACCCGTTCACTTTTAAAGACCAACTGATCATTGCATACAGTGGTTTACGGGGAGCCAGTAGCTTCTCACTAGTATTCTTGTTGCCTATTCTTCTATTTCCAAGGAAGAAAATGTTCATCACTTCAACAATTGTAGTTATATACTTCACAGTATTCATTCAGGTAAGACTGTGCTTTGGGAGCAACAGATATTTGTTTAACATGCACATAGTTTATTGCAACTATGTTGTAATGAAGAAATGTGGTTAGTAAATGTGCATTTAAATTTAGGGACTTACTATTGGACCTCTGGTAAGATATCTGAATGTGAAAAGGATATCGAGAGAGCAAACGGTCAATCAAGAAATTCATACTCGGGTAAGTTAACTTTACAGACTTTTACATGAATAAACTCAAGTAAATGTCTAATACGTAGGTAAATTTCATTTAGCATAAAGAGAGTCATGCGAGCAGCACAGTGGCTTAGTGGTTAGCACCTTGCAGCACTAGGGTCCTTGGTTCGAGTTGCACTCTGGACACTATCTGCATGAAGTTTGCATGTGTAGGTTTTCTTAGGGCACTCCAGTTTTCATTGGCATAGACATGCTGGTAGGATAACTGGATTTTGTCTAAATCGGCTGTAATAGATGTGTATTGGTCTAAAAATCTGACTGTGTTTTCAAGCTGGCTACTGAATTACTTGATTCAGGACCTGGCTAAATTCGGTTTTAGAACCTCAGGGTTTAAGTGTACACAATAGGTAAAATCTGATACTGCAGCTTGATATGCTAGAAGAGAATAAAGCCTGTACAAAGTAAAACACTTTAAATAATATGTTTCTAGTTTCATATTCTGATCACTAATGTTTAACAATGTGTAACTTTTCTTTTAACAGTTAATGGATCACCTGAAGACAGGAATAGAAGACATATGTGGCCACTGGGGACACTATCAGATGAGGCAAAAGTGGGTATTTTTTATTTAGTTGAATAATTGTCCTTTGCAAAACTACATTGCTTTCTATATGTCACTGATATACTAAAATAAAACACACAAGAATAAATAAAATAACTAACTGATATTTATGCATTGAATTAGCAACACAGACAGAAAATGTTATCAATCACAGATATCTGCAGTTAAAGTCCTGAACACTTACGGAAGATGCAACATAAATAAAAGTATATGAAAAGTATATGAAAAAAGAAACTTGACATTACATTCTTGCTAATGTTCAGTGGCAGCTATAAAGCTAACAGTTTTAACCACTTTTCCATCATAAGCCTCAGTGTATAACAGATCATAACTTCAAATAGTAATTCAGGTAACACCCATCATTATGATGGATGGTTTCACTACCCAAAAGTGGGGCAGAGTGGACAGGACCAGCTATTGAACCATGGAAGATGGTTGAAGTGTGCCCTGGGATTCTGAGCTTTTGAGAGGCTCACTGGGAAAACTAAAGTGGTATAGGGGTTTAATAGCAATGTATTAACAAGTTAAATCTGAGTTCAAGTACACTTTGACATTGTTTAAGTATAGTGATCTAAGTTACAGAAATGTTCCAACGAAAATTAATATTCAGCAAAATAACTTTAATTTCCATGCTGCATATTTGATCACTTTTGCTAACACTATCTACAGATAAAAATATGGTGTGCATTTGGTTCTAGATTGAAGAAACTTGACGACAAATTTCTTCGGAAAGCTCTTATACGTGAACACCAGCCTAAGTCAAGTATTGTCTCTTTGCATAAAAAGCTTGAGGTTAAACAAGCCATTCAGATGACCATGTTTGGAATGGGCAGAGATATGTCCTCATCCTCTCTACTGTGAGTGTTTTTATAATTTACAGCAAGATTCTACAAATACTGGTATACCTGATACTGTTGGACCTCTAGGTTCTGTGTCTACATTATTAAATGAGAGGTTAGGGAGAGTAAAGCATACTCGGGGCTGTCCCTTCCCTATGTGCCATCTGAGGCAGTAGAGCTAGGGGGACGATGGACGGTGGGTGCTCTGATAGTGCTGGGGGGGCTTTGAAGCAGATGCAGTGGGACTGGCGTGCTATCATCTGCTATCTGTCTGGTCCTGTCCAGTTCAGTGCATGTACATACTGTAGCTTCCAAGTGTCCCTTGTTTGAATGTACTGTCCCTTTTGTGGAACCAAATTTCTGTTACTCGTTCCTTTTCAGTTGTCCTTGTTTTAAGTCTGACCTATAGACCTCTATAACAAAAATACAATTTAGCTAACAAACATGATATACGACACTACAAACTACACATTATTGTATCTGTTATCTTGAAATACCAGTATAAGGCTGGGCACACACCTTACAACCATCGCAAGACTTTTGTCTTGCGATGGTTGTAAGGTACTTAAAAAACGTACGATCTGCCTATCTTGCATAGGCAGATCGTACTTGCGATGATCGCAAGCCACGCCCCCTGAGGGGCGGGCTTCCGATGACCGCAATACCGAACGGGCAGTGTGCGCTTGCGCACACCGGCCCGTACGGCTGTTATCGTACGGACATGCCACAAACCTGCCGAACATCGTACGATGCTCGGCGGGTTTTCGAACATTTCCGTAAGTTTAAAGTCGTGCGACCTTACAGTAGTAGAGGTCGCACGGCTTCCACACACCTTACGATCATCGTACGATCGCGGGATTTCCCGCGATTATCGTACGATAAACGTAAGGTGTGTGGGGACCCTAAAGGAAAAGTAATAATAAAATAAAAATGCTTGTGGTGGGTTTAACCAATCATTTCTTGCATGTTAATTCCTCAAGATCTATGTACGGGGGCATGTCAGGGGTTAGGTTCTTTGCCTACGTACTTTGTGGTAGTAGATTTTCTTATCTCAGAAAGCTTGAGGGTATGATTTTTATGCTGCTGGTATAGAGCCACTGTAGCCTGTACCTCCTTCCAGTCAGAAGGACTGCTGTTATTCTCTATGGCAATTTCCTGAGCACCTAGAAGGAAGCACAGCCTTTGAAAACTGCAGGCAACAAATAGATGGCTTTACAAAGGACTACAGTATGGGGTTATTTAAGAGATATTACTACAGAAGCCAAAAATTGATTTGTGTTTTAATATTTGCAGAAAAAGAAAAGCTCCAAACACATTTTCCACCAATGATGTAGTTCACATGAAAAACATATTAACAGACAGTCTCTATCAAGTACGACGAAGGGTAAGGTTTATGAAATTCCATAAAATGTTCATTATAGTTTGGAATAGTCTTCTTTGCTGCCAAAATAGGTGATATTACTTAATTGTGTTAAAATTGCATGCAAATATGGCATTACTTATACATTAAGCTGTGAACATGTGCTAGTGTCCCCTGCAGAATTATGATCGCTGTACATGCAGTAAGCACTGCTAAACAGCATCAGTACCTAATCTTAACTATCCTTTATATTGCATCTGCTGTCACAGCTTTCTCTGTGGTAAAAACAAGAGTGGGTGAAAACAGACATGTACTAAAGTGTCATCTCTTTCCATTACCAGCTATTTGTAAATGCTTAAAGGACTGGAAAAGTCCTGCAGTTCTCATTGCTTTTAAAGTGGAACTTGATTCCACTGTGTGGGGGTGAGTGCTTGCCATAATGTGCAAGTATGCATAGCACACTTAGCTCTTAGAGTGTCCTTCTCCATCATCGACAGATCCAGGCTCCAAGTTGTCACTTTTTGGACATCATCGCCATCTCCCCCAACACTAGTTTGGGGACAAAAAGCAGCAAAGTAGTGGTGAATATATAGACTCCTCTACCCACCAACTCAGCTGGCCAAATGCAGATCTATATCCATGACCCCTGATGGCTTACAATAGGTGTCCAGTTTGAGAGCAGATACTTGAAAAATAAGTTTAAAAAAAATCTAGCTTAGAGCAATTTCGATCAAAATATTTTTTTCTCTTGCTTCCTGTCCAGGTGAACATACAAGTGAGTATAATTTTTGCAGTAGAGATACAGACACCAATAAAAAAAAAAAAAAAACTGTTAGAAGATCTTCTAACGCTTCTAAAAAGTCTACCGTCTGTGTTCCTATCAGAAATATTCTCCTCGCTTGTGCGTCTACTAGGATAGGAAGAACGGACAAAAGATGGAGAGATTCCGCTCATACACTGTCCCAGTGGTTAAACAGACAGGGAAAATATTCTCAACATGGAAACGCCAACAAAGGTTGTAACCCTTCCCTAACCTAGATGTGTGGCTTTTTTTGCTGTCTTTTTTTTCACTCCCCTAGATTTTGAGCTAAAACACATTTTACTATTTAATTGTCTGGCTCTCTCATAGGATTTTCGATATGCATAATGCTTATCTCTGGTTTGAATAAAATATGATATTGGGTTTTTTTTTTGTGTAATACTATTGACGTATTTGCAAGTATGTAATTTTTGTGTATTATTTATTTCTTCATCTGTTTGATGTTTTTTTTTTTTTTTAATGGATTTATTGTATATAGGTTTATGTTTGTAAAATCTTTCAATAAAGAAAATTAGTCCTACCCCATGCTATCCAAAATATAAAAAAAATTGTTTTAGTTACAGATCAGCTTTAAAACAACCAGCAAGTTCTAAGTGTGTTTTCCTGCACAAGCAATTTTGTCAAAAGGATTTTGTATGTGACACACAAAAAATAAATTACGTACTGAACTGTTCTTTAACCCTCTCACTGCCAGAGCCATTTTCTTCTTTTTGCTCACAGATACAAAAATGCTATTTTTTTTTCATGCAAACCCACTTAAACTCCCAAAATATTATCAGGGTTATTCACAAAAGGGTGAAGAGTTTAAGAAGGCAGGAGAAGTAAACCATCTAGGCCAAAACAGCTGATTTGGAAAAACTCTCCAATTCAGCTCACTTTCCAGTTCAGCTATGTTGTCCTAGATTGTTCACTTCTCCTGCCGTCTCCAAACTCTTCACCCAGTGGAGATTAACCCTATCTTTTCTGAAAGCAGTCTCCTTTTAGAATAAAATGGTGGTTGTTGCAATTTTTTTTATGTTGCACTATAGCTGCGTGACTGCTTATCAAACCCATGTTTTCAGTAAAACATACACTACAGTTAATTTAAAGGCACACAGTCACAATATAATCCCCATTTTTTAATATAATATAAAAAATGAAGTTAAGTTGAGTAAACAGGTTATGTGAAGCCTTAAAATTGCATGCACCTGGCAAACTGCAACAAACAGCAATACACAAAACTGTCTATAGGCAATGTTTAAAAAAACCTTTATTTAGAGATAATAATGGATGATGGCCCTAGAATTATTCCTCTTCCCCTGGTGTGCACAACAATATGTGTTCAGCTATTGTCGTTTTCATATATGTGTGAACCTAATGCATGCCTTAGTGTTTGTATGTGTGTATGCTTGCTTATGAACTTTGTTGGGAGTCTTTTTATTTTATTAAACTTGCATTTTTTAAATCCTTTTTTCCATATATTTTGCTTCACTTTGTTGCTATCACTACGGGGAGCAACACGCCCGCTATGTGGTAGCATAATGCAGGTGACAAGTCCTCTTTAATGAGACATCAGGAGTCTATCTGACCCCTAATGTCACCACTTCACTCTGTCTCAGTCAGCTGTTTCCCAGCCAGAGTGCCTAGGGTTTGACTGCTTTGGACCTCAGACATGAGAACTATGGGTTTCATACTACCCAGGAAAGATATCCACTCGTCTCCCATTACTCTCCAACCAGGCACCCATCATGTATGCCCCCGGGATGCAGGAGGGACAGCTAAGTCTGGGACACATGAAGGGGGTAGTTGCCAGCTTTGCATGTCTGAATCTCTAATACTACAAATCCGGCAGCTCAGTAGAAAAACTTATACAAACCTATACTTGGCTGCTTGGCCTTGAGTTTCTTTATTACTGACTCTGCTGTAATAGTGACAGAAGCAGTGAAAGATTTAAAGAAAAACTCCAGGAAATGTTTCTTAATTCTTGCAGCAGGGCTACCCCCCGCACTGCAAGGGTTAAGTGTTCGTTTGTGTCAATGTTAAAAAAAAAGATAGATTTCCCCAAAGCTCTGAGCCGACTTCTTCCGACCTGTCCTTCCAACATCTCTCCCCCTTGTCTGCAGTGGTCTAGGGTCCTGTAAATCATCACATCTATACACAGTGTAAAGACATGAGGACGCTGAAGAAGATTCCAATGCTGCAGCAGATGAGGAAACAGGCTGGAGGGAGCGCTGTCACAGCTGGCTGGCTCGGGAGCTTCGGGTGAGTATAATTTTGTTATTTTACCACCTATACACAAATGAGCGGGTAGTGGGTAGCCCCACTGCAAGGGTTAATACAAAAAATTCCTGGAGTTCTTTTTTAATGGAACTGAATAGCTACTACTTTGGGTATGTGCATGAATTATGGATCCTTGGCAAACAACTCAAAACATGTAATGTTGTCTTACAAGCTATAATACACTAAGTCCTGACCTTCTCTCTTAGACATCTTCATACGTTAAGTATAATTTACCAAAGGAAGATAATGAGAGACAAAACAGAGAAATCCTCACTCGCCGCTACTCAAGTATGAAGAAAGGAAATAGTCTGCCATGGGGAGGACAGGTAATGGACAAATCAATTTTACATATATAAAGTGTGGTATTTTATAGTCAATACTACATTTATAGTAGTAGTGGTCAATTAAAAATTTATATTGGATGTTTACATTACAAAATAAGCGTGGTACTAAAAATTGTTACACTAAGTATGGGAGTAGGTACAAGTGTGAGTTTGCAATTCTTTGGACCTGAGGCATAAATAGGGGAAGAGGTTGTCTAAAGAGCCCCTTTCCCCCAGAGGGCCTGTTTTCGCAGCAGCAAGTGTTCACAGTCACTGGGCCATTGGTAGCACTTGTCCTCAGGGCCGAAGCAAAGGTTTTTTGCCTAAACAGGCGAAGGTGCCCCACCGGCACCCTCAGGCAGTTTTATGGTAGCGCTAGCCCTGCATAGACATCCCATACAGCAGCACTCCAAAACTAATGGGAGATCTGTGATATCCATGTTACAGGTCAAACCAATTATCTCAGAAGCATTTAGAAAAAAGGAAGACCATCAGCTACTAGTGCTGTATATGCGAAGCCACAAGGAATGACACCCCAAATAGTTTATTGTGGAGCACCGGAATACAAAGACACCCCCCAAAGTGTACCACTCCAGAAAGCATAACGAAGATGTCCATGTTACAGTTCACACTAAACATATCCAGAATTTGGGAAAAGAATGACCATCATCTTCTGAAGCCCTGTATGTAAAGCCAGAGGCATTGACACCCCACGCCTAGTACCATGGAGCACCCCAATACAAGGGCACCCCCCATAGATCTTCACTAAAGATAGCATAACTAACAGCACTGACTGCCAATGTAACGGAGGTATATACACTGACCGCCAATGTAACAAAGGTATTCACACTGACCGCCAATGTAACAAAGGTATTCACACTGACCACCAATGTAACAAAGTATTCACACTGACCACCAATGTAACAAAGTATTCACACTGACCACCAATGTAACAAAGGTATTCACACTGACCACCAATTTAACAAAGTATTCACACTGACCGCCAATGTAACAAAGGTATTCACAATGACCACCAATATAACGAAAGTATTCACAATGACCGCCAATATAATGGAGGTATATACCATACACATACTTAAACATACCTTTTTCTTGCAGTCTTCAGGCTGGTTTTTCTTCCTCAGCAGCAATGGTGGGCGGTACTTCCTACATTATATGGAGTGCCGTGCAATCCCAGAGTACTGTAAGCCCAGGGGGTGTGTGATTTGCATATAAATTAGCCTTGCTATTTACATATGAATGGGTTACGACTTATTGATATGCAAATACCATCATCCATTCTTATGTTAATCTCCCCGGGGGTGACCGCTTCAGGGACAGTGCAGGCTTCCAGTAGGCTCCGGAGAGAGAGCACACATCAGAGGGAACTGGGGGCGGGGCTCAGACTATAGAAGAATGAAGCTCAGAGCCCAGTCCATACCGCTGCTCCTGTGAATAGGAGGCAGTGTTTTTCCGCCCTCCCCCACCAGCGCCCTCAAGCGGTCGCTTGTGCTGCCTGAATGGTAGCGCCGGCTCTGCATTTCCTACAACTCTTGCTGGCTACCCTGGATCCTGGGGCAGCAACCACCTGAAATTTGTTTTGGTGTTACTGCAGTGCCTGTTCCACTTGCACTAAAGCCACCACTTCTGAGACTTGTCAGACTTCTGATACAGGCAGTAGCAGCAGCAGTTCAGAGCCAAAGGAGGTCACATTATCCAGCTAAGAGGAAGAATTCCCCTCACTCTGAACTGCTGCTGTATCTGGTGTTTTTTGGTGAGTGGGTTTCAGTGGTTAGGGATGTGTGTGGAGGGGAGATCTGTACTGGTGGGAAATGTGGCATCGGAAGGAGGTAATTTTTTGTTGTACTTCCTTTGCATTATGCTCCCCTGACCCCTGCATTCTGTGTGTTACACACCCCTGCACTCTGTGTTATTCTTTCCTGACCCCTGTACTCTGTGCTTTACGTTCCCCTGCCCCCTATGCATTACCTAGATCAGACACCTGTATCTTGTCCTTTATGTACCCCTGACCCCTTCACTTTCTGCACTATGTACACTATGTTTTATATTTCATACTTTTGATTACTGCACTCTGTATGCTGGGCTGTATATGACATACGCCTGACCACTGCACTCTAAGTACTTTATATATTCATCACCTCTGCACTCTTTATGCTATATTGTTTGTTAGTAGTGGTAGTAGTCAATGACTATGCTAATGAAATATTTTGAGGTAGGCTGTGTGTGGAAAAGCATATGTAATGAAAGAGGTTTTTTTTTTTAATGTTTGTGCTTAGATTCATAGGTGTCTGTTAGACTTATGCGTAGCACACCAGTTAAAGCATATGTTGTGGGTTTGTGGACTGTGACATATGTTACAGTGTACACAGTGCATAGGCTCATGTTTTAAGCCCCACTCACTGTTAGTACAATTTTGCAACACCCACAATTTAGAGCAGCACACTTCACACCGCAACTAATTTTTCTCCTATGGCTGCTTTATACTAATCTTTTTAATAGATGCAAAATGAAGCTCTGCCATTGACTAACCTTATTAAGTAAGATAATGCAAAGATTATTGTTTTTTCTAATGTCTTTTGAGCAGGCAAATGTCCGGAATGTACGCTATTTATCCCTGCCCCATGACCGTTATAAAGCAGGAGAAGACTATAACCTGCAATCTTTGCAAGGTAATATATCCGATAACAAGCACGCTATTAAATTTAAATGTTTGGCTTTCTGATTTCTTACTTTAGATGAGCTTACACGACACACATATGTATAAGGTCAAACACTTACTCTAATATTCCTACATATTGTTCATCTTTGGTACGATGGACTGAACACAATGTGAAATATTTAGTGCGTCTGTATGTGAATGCAAACAAATAAGGTGAGGCTCAGTCAATAAAGTTTTGTTTTTAATGAAGGCAACACATACTTAAAAAATATGTGTAGAATAATCAAACCATGTACATTCAAAACAGTATTGTACTGGGGCTCTAGTTGTGTGATGCTATGATGCGAAAGATTAGTACAATGTTATGTTTGTATGTTTGGGCTTACATTTTTTTCTATGTTTATTTTAACCTCTTGCCGTCCGCCCGTAGTAAAAAAACGGACGGACGGCACTGCTACATCTGCGGGTTGCCGTCTCCAGACGGCAATTTTTTACATGTTAAAATGTTTTTTTTTTCTTTCAGGTCAAGATAATGATTATGATTCTGTATTTCTGGAGACAACTGGCATCTTAACTAGGCAGGGTACCAATTTAACACCATCAGCAACACGAAATCTAAAAGGAAATGAAGGAATTAGAGGAAATAGGGCTGGCGCTAGAACAGGAACTTGGCCAACCAAGAAGAGTGAGCCCCAGAAACAGCTCACTGCAAGACTAAAATATCAGCCAACTGAAAAGAAGCCATATTTTGATATAGTTCTTGAGGAAGATGATGACCATGTGGATAGTAATAAGGATGACGTCCTGTAGAGACTTCAAATAACCATGGTAAACATTTAAAAACGCCAGACACTAGATTTGTTACATTGAACAAAAAGTGTGAGCATTTCTTGTGAGAAGATTAGTGAGCGGAACATAGGAAGAGTAAATAAAGTTAGTAACAAATATGTTTACATGCATGCATGTCTGCTGGCTTCTTCTTTAAGGGGTCTATTTATAATTTTTTCACACAAAGTTCACACAGCTTTCACTCAAGATTCACACATTTTTCTAAGTGGATTAAATTGGAATAATGTATAATTTATCAGTAAATCTTGTGAAAACCTTGAGTAGAATTATTTTATAAAAATAGGCCCCTGAGTGTGTGCCAAGATCAGAAAGATGTACAGCAAAAGCAGACAGGAGGTTACAGTTGAAAATTAGGTATACAATAAATATTTTTTTTCCTGACACTCACATGATCAGGAAAGCATGTTCTATGATCAGCAGCACCAAACACTGAGGATAATGAAGGGTGGCCTACAGCAAACATTTCCAATATGACTTATCCAGACTTTTACAAAAAGGTTTTCCAAGGTTGCCTTTATCACTCATTGGAACTCCAAGCACTCCTAAAAAAATCACAAGTATGGAAAAACTACAATCTATTTTACATGGGTAATACATTTATGTAAGTGCCATTGTTGTAAATCTTGGAACTTGAATATTATTCTGTCAAAGGTTAAAAATGTACTTTGGTTATAATTAATTTATAATAAACCTTCAAACTGATAAGCTTCATTGGTGCTTCAAACTGTGATTGGAGAAGCTCTCCTGAATCTAACAAAGGTCATGTAGTTTGGGTTCTAAAAAGGAACAATATTGCAACTCAGCAAATAGACACTTGATTATTTATATTATCTCATTTATTTCTTATTTAAGTTTGCAGGAACAACATCAGGGTGGACGGGGATAATTGCAAGAAGGAAATTGTTTCTGGTCAAGTACTATTAGAATATGTTGGGTTTGTGGCACAGAACAGAGATAGGCTACAGTTATATATTGATCAGAGCAGGATGTGATGTCAGTGACAGTAGGGATGTTCCGATACCGCTTTTTCAAGACCAAGTACAAGTACTTTTCCTCAGGTACTTGCCGATACCAATTACCAATACTTTTTCTAAAAGGGACATGTGACATTTTTTCTAAAACAATACAGACTAAGGATTTTAAGGCAGTTTCTCTTCAGGGCTGCATGCAGATCTCACCAGGCTGCATACAGATCTCACCAGGACTAAATACAGATCTCACCAGAGCTGAATACACAACATGTCACCAGAGCTGAATACACAACATGTCACCAGAGCTGAATACACAACATGTCACCAGAGCTGAATACACAACATGTCACCAGAGCTGAATACACAACATGTCACCAAAGATGAATACACAACACGTCACCAGAGATGAATACAGATCTCACCAAGCTGAGATCTCCCCCAGGAGGCATGTGAATCTCTCCAGGGTTCTGCGGGCAGTGGCTATGCTGATCAGATGGATGCCGATAGAAGTAGTGATAGAACACCAGCCTGAAATGGTGGGTTGAGAGTTCAACGGGCAGGTGTCAGTCCGGGGCTGTACTGTGTGCTGTGGGGCTGTCCATGGCTGTGCCTGTGCCCAGAAGGAGGAGGAGGAGATAGAGAACCAGACAGGTACTGCCAAGGACAGCCACTTCCAGGTCCCCAGCAGGCTGCCTGAAGTTCCCACAAGTGCAGGAACTCAGGCAGTCGCTGCAGTTTACAAATTAAAAGAGTTGGTATTGGCCTTAAGAATCGGGGCATTTTCAGAAGTATAAGTACTCGTGAAAATGCCCTGTATTGGTCCCGATACAGATACTAGCATCGGTATCAGGGCATCCCTACATTTTATAGCTACCTGCTCCTACTGCAATTGTAGTGTCATATTGTCTAAGGTAAGTCCTTTGCAGATCTTAGATATAATGGGAACAGATGATGAAAGCCTCAAAAAGGCTGATGCTAAAAGATGTTACTTTTAGGGTTTCTTGGCTTCTTAAGGGTTAACATTTCTACTTGCTTCTCCTTCTTTGTAATGTTAGTGGGGCTGAGGGGTTAGGGGTTAAAGGAATACAACCCTGGCTTCTGCATTCAAATATAATGACGTTAATGAGAGAAACACACTCCTCAGAGTTCAGTTTTAAGTCTTTCTACTGGGACAGATCACTTTGAAGGTGCTCAGAAAAACACGGAATTAGCCATGTTACCCGCTGCAATAAAATATCTAAAAGGTAAGAAATATTTAAAAAAAAAATATTTTTGGTATGCTGTATGAATACAAACACATTATTATTATTATTATTATTAAACAGGATTTATATAGCGCCAACAGTTTGCGCAGTGCTTTACAATATAATACAATATAATATACAATATAATATAAATATAATTTACAACATAACGAACATATAGAGGGGTTTTCTTAAATTTGACTGCAAAAGTGGGAATACACTTTAAGAAACCCCCATAGGAATAAGCCCTATAAAAGGAAGAACGTGTAACCAGTTTACAACGTCAATGCAAATCCAGTATCACACACAAATTCAGTTAGTACCATTTGTTCCTCCAGCTGCCTGTGTGATGGCCCTGTCCGAACCCACTAGTCAAGCCCATGGGAATCATGCAAGATAAAGTGATGCAAATAATGTCAATATCAGTAGCAATAGTAGCACATGATAAATACTATGCACAGGCCCTGCCTAACCACTGTCAGGTGGAATAACAAGTCTGTTGGTGTTGGGGCACTTGGACTACACGTTGGAGTGCTCTTTCTCAGGGGGTGTGTACATGTAATCCCAATGTAAATTAGGAGAAACATGGTTCCCTGGGCAGAACTCCACTAACACCTGCAAAGCTTTAGCAGCAACTTAAACACACAGAGATGGTCAATATGATGAAGCAAACATGTCCTCCTTTCAGGTAGGCTGCAGTTCAGTTGTGCATACCCTTGGAGAATTAGTACTATATGTACCATTTTTAAAGAAAACATGAGTTAGCAGGCAAAACACATTTCTTTTATTTCTTATGGGATTCATATTCATAGGTCATAACAGAATGGCACAATCATAAAACAAAACATTTCAACAAATAAAAAAAATGAAATGACCCCTGTTCAAAAGTATGCATACCCATAGTTCTTAATACTGTGTTTTGCCCCTTTTAGCATCAATGACAGCGTGCAGTCTTTTGTAATAGTTGTCTATACGGGCCCCAAATTCTCGCAGGGGGTATAGCTGCCCACTGGTCTTGGCAAAATGCCTCTCGGCAACGTCTTTGGTCGTCTTGCATGAACCGCATGTTTGAGATCTCCCCAGAGTGGTTGTGATGGCCACCTTTTTTTGCTGTCAACTTGGCCTTGTGCTTAAAGTCATTGTCGTGGTGCACTGTCCAAGAGCATCCCATGCGCAGCTTTTGCACAGAAGAGTGCAAATTGTCTGCCAGTATTTGCTGATAACATGCTGAATTCATCTTACCATCAATTTTCACAAGATATCACGTGCCTTTAGAGCTCACACCCCCCCAAAACATCACTCAACCCCCACCATGCTTCACAGTGGGGATAATATTCTTGACGTATAGGCCTTGATGACCCCTCTCCAAACATTGTGTTTATGGTTGTGACCATAAAGCTCTATTTTGGTCTTGTCACTCTAAATTACAGTGTGCCAGAAGCTGTGAGTCGTGTCAAGGTGTTGGGCATATTATAACCAAGCTTTTTCGTCGCATTGGCGCAGTAAAGGCTTCTTTCTGGCAACGTGACCAAGCAGCTCATTTTTGTTCAAGTATTGTCATATTGTGCTCCTTGAAAAAACCACACCATCTTTTTTCACAGCAGCCTGGATTTCTCCTGAGGTTACCTGTGAGTTTTTCTTTGCATCCAGAACAACTCTTCTGGCAGTTGTGGCTGCAATCTTTCTTGATCTACCTGACCTTGGCTTGGTATCAAGAGATCCCAGAATTTTCCACTTCTTAATAAATGATTGAACAGTACCAAGTGGCATTTTCAAAGCTTTGGATATGTTTTTATATCCTTTTTCATCTTTATAAAGTTCCATTTGTTACGCAGGTCTTTTAACTGTTATTTTCTGCTCCCAATGGCTCAGTGTCTAGCCTGCTCAGTGCATCCATGTGAGCTCTAACAAACCCATTGACTATTTACACAGACACTAATTGCAATTTAAAAAGCCACAGATGTGGGAAGTTAACCTTTAATTGCCATTTTAGCCCATGTGTGCCCCCTTGTGTGTCTTTAGCAAGGCCAAACATTCCAGGGTAAACGTTTGATCAGGGCCCTTTGGGTGATTTCTGTTATCATTATGATTTAAAGAGGAGCTAAACAACTATGTGATAATAAATGGCTTGATACAATCACTATCCTTAAATAAAAGACAGTTTTTTGGTATGATCAGTCATATTTTCAATATCAATAACTTCACGATTTCTGCCAGGGGACGCAAACTATTGCGCACAACTGTACTTCTGTCTAGATCATGGCAGAAAAAGAGATACAGGCCGTACTGTCCCGGGCTGGTCTCTGCACTGTAGGTACTTCTTTGGGATGAAGGTCAGGTGCAAGGCAGCCTGTAATGCAATAGGCCTCTCTCTCAAGCCTGCACCTTCCTCTGGCTCTAGTGTCTTGGTGTTTCAGATCAACTGTCCCTGGTGCCTAGTGGGTTACTCCGCGCTGTATTATCCACTCACTCCACAGGTCCTCTGTCAGCACAGCCTGCACTCCCCCACACAACACTCAGTTGTTCTGCTGCAGCCAATTATCATCCTCCTTTGCTCTCCTCTCCATACGTTGTCAATTTCCAGCGAGGAGAGAGCAATGAATTGTGGCCAGTTTGGAAATACTTTGCTGTGTGGCTTAAAGTCCCGACAGCCGGGGTTACACTTACAACACAACATTTCTATTCTCTGGAACCTTTTATCTTTTTCTTTTTTTCCCTCCATATGTTGTTGACCATTCTTTTAGCA